TTAAACCTCCTGAAATGTTGTGATTTGAATCAAAATAACTTTTCGATCTAATAGTATAGTGATACAGAAAAATCACTTCTGGACCTGGTAGGGTTGCATTTGCTCTATATTTGAAACACTTTAACTTGCACCACAGAGCTTACATGTAGAGTAAAGCAGGACCTTGGAGGCAAGACGTCCCTATTCATTTCATGCGTATAAGTTACTTAGTTTTGTTTCCTTCTTTAAAAAAAATCTAGGCAGTATAAGATGGAGGTAAGGGTGTTTCAGGAGGAGAGGAAGAGACCATAATTTTCTAATCTACTTTGATAAATGGTTTTACATAAGTAATTCAGACTTCATGGAACAAGCTATTCAGTGTTTTGTAATCACTGATAATTTCCCTCAGAGTCTGAGACCCAAAGCAAAGGCTAAGTAGGGTTGCTGGCCACATGCTGAAGTATTAATGTTCTTCTTTCAAGAGGTTTGGCAAATAAAGCTTGATTAGCTGGCTTGTCCTTCTGGCTGGGTAAGAAACAGATCCCCCCAAGGAAGAAGCAGAGGCAAGGTCATAGGTTGGGCTCAGCGTGCTAGTAAGGAGGAATTCACATGGAAGGGCTTCTCGTAGAATTCATGGAGTAGCAGCTTACACTTGCAAAGGGTTTCGCATAAGTAACATTTGTTGGTCTTCACAACGATCCTAAGAGGTGAGTGCTATCAACGTTATTATCCCTGTTTAACAGAGAAAACAAATTAAAATCTTTGTCCCTTCTTCTCTTTTATATATTCTTAGGAAAACATTACGACTCACTCAGGATGATAGAGTAGGAAGAGGCAATACAAGCCAGTTTTCCTATAACGAATCCAATAACTATTTACAAAATCCACCAGACTAAGCCTGATTGCAAAATCCAAGGAAAAGTCACAGTGAGTCATTTGTTTCTCAGTCTAGGACTTCCAAGAAGGACTTTCATGAAATGGAGGACTTCGAAGAATTCCTTATGAAGAGAGAAAGCTAAGTAGAAACTTCAAAAAATAAGAGATATAGAAAGCTAAACAATCAGGTCACATGATAAGGTGTCTCCTTAGAATCCTAATATCATCAAGGATCATAAAGCAACATAAAAAAAGATAATGATTAACTTAATTATTACCCAAGCTTTTAGAGGAAAAAAAAACAGGACAAAAGGATTAGATTTATAAATACACTATTGATACTTGAACTAAGAGGAGTCAAAATGGTGAAATAAAATTATACATCAACATCTCTAATAAATATTAATGAAAAAGTGTTAGGTATTAGCAAGGAGACTATGGCTACATACTACAATGATTATATGCTATGATCAGGTTGGATGTATACCCGGAATGCAGGAATAACTCAATATGAAGAAAAACCACCAAAAGAGAAGAATAACAAAAATCATAATTATATAAATAGATGCAGAAAAAGCTTTTGATAAGATAAAACATTTGCTCCTATTAAAAACACGAAAATAAATAGGTCTTTCCTTAATATAGCCTATGGCATCTATTTAAAGCCAAAAGCCAGCAATACATGTGATGGGAATAAACTTTTTTGTTAGGTAATATGATGGTTTACTTAGAGAACCCTAGGAGATCAACCCAAAATTAATTGAAACAATAACTTCAACAAAGTTATAAGATATAAAAAAATCCACATAAACAAATAGCATTTCCATATATTGCTGACAAAATATAGAACCAAGAGAAAAAATTATATTAAAAAAGAAAAAAAAAAGACCATCAGAATGCATAAAATGCTAGAGAATCTACCTGGTAAGGCACATGTAAAAAGTAGCCAAGTATAAGTACACTCTTTATAGAAATAAAAACTGACTTAAGAAATTGGATAAATATTCATTGTACATGGATAGCTCAAACCAATATAATAAAATAACAATACTTACAATGAACTTATTTATTCACTGCTATACTAATGAAGTTAATAAAGGACTACTTTATAGAGCAAAAAATAATGAAATTCATCTGGTGGAACAAAAGTTCATGAATCTCATGGAAAATGATTTTTTTAAATGGCAAGGAAGGGGTCTTGGCAATATCAATTCTCAATGCATACTACAAAATAGTAATCATCAAAACCATTTAGTACTAGTTGATAAAAAGAAAGGTAAATTTGTGAAATAGACTAGGTATATAACACATAGAAACAGTTGCTTAATGTTTGATAAACTCAAAGACATCAACTGTTGAGGTAAAATTTAGTAATCAATTTTAAAAAAATATTGGGAAAAGTGGAAAGCAGTTTAGAAAAAATTACTTATAAACCAATCTCTTACACCAAAAACCAAAATAAATCCAACTAGATATATAATCAAACATAAAAGCAACATCACAAATAGGTTAGAGGAGGAAGGAGGAAAAAAAGATCACCTTTCACATTTATGGTCAGGTAAGACTTTATGGATAAAGGAAGGATAGAGATGTCACATAAGATAAAGTAGATAATTTTGATTATATAAAATTAAAAAGATCTTCCACACATAAAATCAATACACTAAAATTAGAAAGAAAACAGATAATGGGAAGGAGGGGTAAATGGATTTCCAAAGATACATAATAAAGTTCTTGATTCAGAATTATAAGAGAGCCATTTCTTAACTGATTTATAATAAAAAGATACAAATGGGAAATTTTCTAGAGCAGAAAGTCAAGCTGCCAAGAGTCATATGAAAAAAATGTTCCAAAGTATTAATAATTAGAGAAATTCAAATTAATAACACTCTGAAGTTCCATCTCACACTAAGCAGATTAACAAAGATAACAAAAAAGGAAAATGATAATTGTTGGGTTGGGGAGAAATGGATTTTTTAATGTATTGTTGGCAGAGCTGTTAATTATTCTATTTTTTTTTGGCTAGGCAATGGGGTTAAGTGACTTGCCTAGGGTCACACAGCTAGTAAGTGTGATGTGTCTGAGGCTGAATTTGAACTCAGGTCCTTCTGAATCCAGGGAGAGCGCTCTATCCACTGAGCCACCCAGCTGCCTGCTGTTAATTATTCTAGACATTACAGAAAGCAAGTTAGAACTATGATCCAAAAGTTACTAAACTTTTCATCCCTTTTGACTTGGTGATACCAGTATTAAACGTGTATTCCCAAGGAAAGAAAAAACGGTTCCTTATGCACAAAATATTACAGCAGCTCTTTGTGGGTGTGGGTGGGTGTGGGTGTGGGTGGGTGGGTGTGTGGCTGTGGGTGGGTGGGTGTGGGTGTGGATGTGTGTGTGGGTGTGTGTGTGTGTGTGTGTGTATGTGTGTGTGTGTGTGTGTGTGTGTGTGTGTGTGGGTGGGTGTGGGTGTGGGTGTGTGTGTGGGTGTGTATGTGGGTGTGTGGGTGTGTGTGTGGGTGTGTGTGTGTGGGTGTGGGTGGGTGTGTGGGTGTGGGTGTGGGGGTGGGTGTGTGGGTGTGGGGGTGGGTGGGTGGGTGTGTGTGTGGGTGTGGGTGTGTGTGGGTGTGGGTGGGTGGGTGTGCGGTGGCAAAGAATTGGAAACCAAGAGGGTGCCCATCACTTGGGGACAGATGAACAAATTATGCTCTGTGAATGTAATGAAGCACTGCTTTTGTACTCTAAAAAAAATGATGAAGATTTACTTTCAGAGAAGCCTGGGTAAAAGCTGTATGAACTGATATGCAAATTGGAATTGTTTCAGACTACTGTCTTGATGAGAGCAGGTAAGTCTTTCGCAGTTGATCATCATTAAAATATTGCTGTTACTGTGTACAACATTGTCCTGGATCTACTCATTTCACTTGGCATGAGTTTATGTAAATTTTCTTGGGTTTTTGATTCTTCATTTCCAATCACTTCCTTTGCATTAAATATCATGTTCTTTCTCCCTACCTCATTTAAGTATAAGTTTTTGCTTTACAGGAGGGCTAGAAGATAGGAGCAGTGAAAGTCAACTAAAAATAAGGAATCACTGCCGATACACAACTCATCAGAAATGAAAGTAAGAATAATACCTAACATTTTATAGAGTGCTTTAAGATTGGCAAAGCATTTCACATGTGCTTATATCATTTGACACTCACAACAACTCTGAGGGAGATGCTCTTATACCTATATTACAGATGAGGAAACTGAGGCTGAAAACAGTTAAGTTGCTTGCCACTGTCTACGAGTCTAACAATCTATCTGCTGGGCCATCTGATAAAGCTTATACAAAATCAAAAGTAAACCAGGAGACCATGATTTGTTTGGGAAAAATATAACTGATGAATGGAGAAATTATGCAGACCAAGTTCGGCTAATAATTATGGGATTGTAAAAAAAAATTCAGTGATCTTCTAATAACCCACCAAAAATGCATGGTTGAATTCTACAGGCATGAGAGAAAGGATGCAGATGAGTACAGCTGTGCAAACACTTACCTCGGATTCAATCCTAAGATCCCTTCTCATCCCCTCCATTCCGACAAAGGCAGTAAGCTTGGGAGCCCATTATAATGGTGAGGGATAAGCCTTCTCACAGCATGCTTTGCTATAACTTACAGATTTATTAAGGTGCATCAGGAATTTGTAAAAAGAATGCGGTCATTGCAAAGAGCTATCTTTTGAAGTGGTAGGCAATTTACCAACTTTGTGTAGCTAATCCACAAGAGTTACATTAATATACAACATGCAAAACACATTTTCCCTGGGGCTCAGTGAGGAGAATCTAGTGCACATGTCATCCATTTCTGTGAATGCTGAAGATTACAATTATGTTTTGATATTAATCCAACTTCTGCAAATTTCTTGTTGTGATGGGCTCTATGAAAGTGTGAGTGACAGGATAAATCTTTTTAAATTGAATACAACACCACTGAAGAGAGCTAATGTTTTCAAATACTGTACCCAGCCTCTGGATGCCCAGAATAATTCACTAAGTGAATGAGCCTCTGTGGTGACCTATTTGGTAAGAGGAAAGAGGAGAGATAAAATTGCATTCTGCATGCTGCTAGGAACGTCATGTTCTGAATGTTCAGCAACAATCACCTCTAATGCTTTGAGGTCCTCGTAGACAACCTGAACGCTGGGAGTTCCGAGGTGGTTGATGAAGAAATCTCCATCCCCCTGCATCTGCACAGAACTGAGGTTGGCTTCTGGGCACTTTGTTTTCCAGGAGCAGTTGAAATCCTTTTTCTGAAAACAGAAATTAGAATTGTTCACATAACTAATGGTAACTATTCATCCCTTCATTCGTCTCCCAAATCAGCTATAACTTTAATGGTGGTTATGCCATCTTCATGGCATCCAACGCCATCTTCAATCAATCCACAAATATTTCTTAAGTAACTATTATTTACTGGGCACTGAGCATCATGAAAACAAAGACAGAAGTGAGCCCTTATCTTCAAGGATTCTATGTTCTACGGGGGAGACAACTGTGTAGATAAAAGTTACATGGAAAATAAAAACTACATAGATCCAGTTAGGGAAGGAATAAGGAGTAAGGAATGATCAGAAAAGATTTCACAAAAAATATAGCACCTGAGCTAAGCCCTGAAGGAAACTATGGAAGGAAATTCTTTTGAACTTTCTATAATTCTGCTATATGCTTTTACATCATGAAAGAGAGGTATGATGGACAGACTGAATTGTGTAAACAATAGTAGCTGGCAAGATTGGAGTTCAAGTCTCACTGTGACATTTTCTAGCTGTAGGGCCCTGGGCAAGTCACAACTTGTCAGAGCCTCAGTTTCCTTATCTGGAAAGTGAGGAGACTACAGCCTCTATGACACCGAATTAGAAAGGATCTCAGTAGTTACCTAGTGCATCCTATACCTGAATCTCTTCTAAAACATGACCTAAGAGTGGTCATCATGGCTTTGCTCAAAGACACGTGGTGAGAAGGCCCCTACTTCAACCCAATACTGCCCATTCCACTTTTGGATTATTGTATTTATTAGGAAAATCTTCCTTACATCAAGTATAAATTTGCCTTGTTGCAATTTTCCCCAATTTTTTCCAGTTCTGTCTTCTGGGGTTAAGCAGATGGAGTCCAATCCTATCACTATGAAATTAGAGTTGACTTGGCTAGGTACACTTTCTTGAATTGCTCTTTTAAAGTCTGAGCCTCTAATTCAGGAAACCACCTACAGATGGCACAAGGTAGGGCCTGGGGAAATTTATAGACTAGACTTCCATCAAATTCTCTTTTCATACACTGATATTTGAGATCACAAAGATTTAAGCCACAGACTCTTCGAATGAAAAGAATATCTTCTCATTAAATAGTCACAATACAAAACAGATGAGCAATTTGCTATAAGAGTTATGACAGGGGGGCAGCTAGATGGTGCAGTGGATAGAGCTCTGACCTTGGAGTCAGGAGGACCTGAGTTCAAATCTGACTTCAGACACTTGACACTTACTAGCTGTGTGACCCTGGGCAAGTCACTTAACCCCAATTACCTCACCCCCTCCAAAAAAAAGTTATGACAGAAATACCACTCATTCATTTGACAAATATGCATTTAGTCCTTATTACCTGAAGCCTTGTATTCAGGAGGAAATTCATAAAGAAACAAACATTCAGAATTCAATTAGATGATCTCTAAGATTTTGCTTTGTTGTTCAATCGTTTTCAGTTGTGTCCAACTCTTTGTGACCCCATCTGGGGTTTTCTTGGCAGAGATACTGGAGTGGGTTGTCGTTTCCTTCTCCAGCTCATTTTACAGATGGGGAAACTAAGGCAAACAGGGTGAAGTGACTTGTCCAGAGTCACATAGCTAGCAAGTGTCTGAGGCTGGATTTGAGCTCAGGAAGATGAGTCTTCCTGACTGCAGGCTCAGCACTTCATCCACTCTGCCATCTAGCTGCCCTAAGATAACAAGCTTTAAATCCCATTTTCTAGGTCCCTATGATCAGTTTCTATCTTAATACATTAAAGGCTGTGATTTCCCTTAGTCTAACCAATAACTATGGAGCTTCTAGACTTTTCCAGGCCGTGTTTGCTATTATGTAACTTGGGGGCACAAAACCGGCTGCCTTGATCTCCATTCACTTTCTATAATGAAGCTCCTTTCATTCACTTAGCTATCTATAGTAGCCTGGCACATGAGATGATCAGTACCCAGGCTTGAAACATAATGCACTTGAACTACCTTACCAAGGAGAGTTACAAGGCTAGTGAAGTTTATTGGATGTTATCTATACATGTCTATAGAGAATATAAATGTGGAGAACATTGTATATAGTAACAGCAATACTGTTTTAAGAATGACTTTGAATGAATAAGTTATTTTGGCTACTATAAATGCCAAATTAACTGTAAAGGACATATAAAGAAAGACACCATCTGAATACAGAGAACAACTGACAAACAGAATTATGTATAGAATAATTTTACATATACATATATGTATGTATATACACATACATATGTATGTGTGCGTGTGTGTGTGTACACACACACACACATGCGCATACCAACCCCTATTTGTGTCTAATGGTAGCCATCTCTAGAGCTGGAAGGGAGGAGAAAGGGAAGCAAAAAAGAAATTTACATGATAGTTTTGTTGTATATGTGAAAGCACTAGCCAGTTATGCACAGCAAATTTTTTTTTTGCTTTTTAATGAGGCAATTGAGGTTAAGTGACCTGCCCAGGGTCATACAGCTAGTAAATGTAGGGTCTAAGGCCAGATTTGAACTCAGGTCCTCCTGACTCCAAGGCTGGTACTCTATCCACTGTGCCACCTAACTGCCTCTGTGCACACCAGATTTACAGTTTCATGTGTGATCATCTTTTTTTATTGTACTATGTCTTGTTTTATTCCATAAATTAAAAGTAAAATTTAATAATGAAAAAACATCACTGGGAAATTATTAGGTCTCTGGCCCATTCCTGTCAGCACTGAAATGGCAGGACCATATCAGTGTAGCTGGTCCTGCCTCAGTTTCCTGTCCTGAGTTCCATTACAAGCCACACTGTTATCAACTGTGTGTATGTATGTAGGATATCACCTGCTGAAGTAGCCAAAATTCTCCCTCAAAGGAGAGTGGGATGGAAAAATCCTGGAAGTGACCTCTTCTGGGATCTGTTCTGTCCAATGCACTCTGGCAGGAGGCAGGAAAGTGGGAAGAACTTCTGATGTGATGGATGAGATGCACATCTCCATGTCTCCATGGAGGTGATGGACTTGTTCAGGCCTTCTGTGTCAGTCACAGAAGTAGAACTGGAAGGGACCCTAGAAGATACCTAGGCCAAGCCCTTTACTGTACAGGTGAGGAAACTGAGACCTAAAGTGCTGAAGGGATGAGATCAAGGTTATGCAGGTAACAAATAGAAGAGGCAGAATCTTAACCAACATCCTGCCTCTAGAACCAGTGTTATCCTACTACCAGAAATTCTGGAGGGGTAATGGAAGAAAAGATATTATTCATTTATTTGTGATGTTATTAATTTATCTCATATATTCCTGATTCCAAGATCAGGACACTTTTCATTGAGTAATAAAAATTGTAGCTACAAAGAACCCCTTCCATGTACCAGAAATTCAGGACATGCTTTCCTACAAAAACCCACATATGTGAATAGAGAAGGTAGAAAAACAGAATAGAGAGGGAATGGGGCACGTCAACTCCTTCCTAACTTCCTAATTCCCCAGTCATTAGAGTTTACCCTCTTCAAATTATTTTGTATTTATTTTGTACATATTTTCCCTTGACTTATCTGTATATAAGTTTTGCCTAACTGACTGTAAGCTCCTTGAGGGCAGGAAATGTTCCGATTTTTGTCTTTTTATCCCCGTGGCCTAGCGTAGTGTGGGGCACTAGTCCTATACAATGATTGCTGAATGAATGAATTGATGAAAGGTGAAAGACTTACCAAAAGAATGCAGTTCAATTTGTTAAAGATAGTTGCTAGAGATAATTAAATAGAAAAAACAAAACAAAACTAGAAATTGATTTTCAGTGGAAATAATCTCCCCCCTCATCCCCAATATGATTTCCATTTGAGAACCTGGTAGTCAAACCTTAGCAACGAAGTGCCTACAAATCCAAATTCAAAGCAGGAGAAACCATAAATAAGGCAGAATTTTGCCACAAAGTAGTTTTTCAAAATGTATTCACTAATTAAGCACCTTGGAAACAGGAAACAAAGAACTTATCTCCGCAGCATAGCAGTATGTGAAGGGATGCCTCTAAGGCTTTTTTAGCTAATGCAGAATTCCTGGCCCCAGACACAGAAGGGTGAGGTATCTAGCAAAAAGCTGCCACTCCTCAGTGGTTGGATAAAGCTTGGCACCTAGGGTCAAGAAGACTCACCTATCTGAGTTCAAATCTAGCCTCAGACACTTAGTAGCTGTGTGATCCTGGGCAAGTCACTTAACCTCTGCTTGCCTTATTCCACCGGAGAAGGAAATGGCAAATCACTCTAGTATCTTTGCCAAGAAAACCCCAAGGACAGTATGGTCCAGGGAGTCAGGAAAAGTCAGAAACGACTGAATGTCTGAACCACAACAAACAATAGCAATGCCTCCTTGGAGTCTGAGGCTCCGGGTCCCCACTGTTCCCAAGCTCATAACTGCCCTTTGCATAACGATAAAAAAGCAAGTCTGCTACAGTAGGAAGAATTCCAGAATTTGGAGTTGGAGGATTTGTTTTCAATACTGGCTCTTTAACTTAGAACTTGCGTGACCTTGGGCATATCTCTGAACTTCAGTTTCTTCACTTATAAAATTAGGAGTTAGAATGGATGATTTCCAGTGTTGATTAACAAAGCAAAGAAATTAATCAACATGCACATATATATACACACACACACATACATATGGAGAGAGAGAGAGAGAGAGAGAGAGAGAGAGAGAGAGAGAGAGAGAGAGAGAGAGAGACAGAGAGTAAGAGTATATGTTATATGTGTGTGTATTTATTTATTCCCAGGTAAGTGATGGGTCTATATTAACAAATGATGAGGCTGATGTGTTGATGATAATCTGTCTTTTCTACTCCAATTCCCAGATGACTACGACAGAAGCACAGCATATTAGAAAGGATTTCTATGGCCAAGAATAAAGCCAGTAACAAATATATAAAACAAATGAATATGTTTTTGCTTAAGAAGTCTGTATTCTCTTAACTTGGACAATTTTTACAATGGCTTTTTGAAATAGCATAACCATTTCATAAAACAGAAATG